GGCCACCACCCATCCCCTGCTTAGTGTTTCATCCACCGGAAACCTGTCTAACTCAGTACCTTGGCTTATCTATTCCAGAAACCACCCACTGCTAACCACTCAGGAAACTATTCACTTTAATTCTGGATTCTGGGCTTTCCCTATCATTCGGGTGTGGGTTTTCCCTTTCTGTGGAAATAGATGGCTTCACTTCAATTCTCCTTCCTGCTGTTTGCAGCGATGTTCTGCAAATAAAGTCACTTGTGATGTCATGTCTTGCATTTCCATTGGCCGGCTTATCTCTCCCTAGGGACTAATGTCAATCATCACTCCTCTGGGATACAGTTTTCGTGAAAAATCAGCCAAAGAGGACTTCCACTTAACCTACAATAACGTTCACTTCCAGTAAAGCCTGGGAGAAGAAAATACACTAAGAATTCTTTCTCTGTTAACTCTAGGTGACCTCCAAAAGCTCTGCTTCCATTCAAGCAAACTTTTGTGATGGGCCAGTTTACTAAAGAACCCACTTTTCTCCCCGAACTCAAGTAATTCTATATTCCTATTTATAAAACTATCCTCTAAACTGCACACGTTTGTATAAAATAAGGAATATATTTACCATTCAGTAAATATTTGAGCACCTACTATGTACCAGATTTGTTCTAGGCGCCATGGAAAAAGTTGTGAAATATCAGTGGAATAACTAAGATGATTATCATGAAATACTCAGCATTAGAAAAGGAAGTTAGAGAGCCAAAGAAAAATTGTACATAGAAGAGAAAGTTGAGGCAATTCTCTACATGGCATTAGCCAACCTCTCCCAAACCAGACCCCTAAAACCCAGCCATGCTTTTGATGACTCCTTTATTCATTGTATATGATAGTGATTAACAACTCAGACTAAACTGCTGAAACAGAATTTGAATCCTATTTTTCACTAATTAAGGAACCTTTGTCAAATTATATCACCACTTTAGACCTAGCTATCCTTATGTGTAAAATGAAATTACTAATACTGCCTGCCTCATAGACCTGTTATAAGAATTAAATGCTGTATATTTGTACATGGTCTGGCACATGATAAATACTCAAAACATGTTGATGATGATGATTCAGACAAAAGATGTGGACCTGAATTATTTAGATAGTTCACTCCCTTGTCCTACACTATGATTTCAAACCTAAGATTTTTTAAGCCTTGTTTACAGATGTAAATTCAAAGGCAAGATAGTACGATTGAGAAAGGATGAACAGACTCTCACTGAGGATGAGACATTCAGAAACTCAGAGTCTTGGTCACGTCACAAGGTCACCAAGAGATACTTTGTATTTTCTTTCTTGTCAGCTCTTATGGAGATGACTGGGTTCTATCAGGAGCAATTTTAAAGAAGAGTAAACAGAGTTTATCTTTTAAAATCAAGTCCTAGAAAGGAAGCTAAGAGAGAGAAGACACTAAGGAGACTTCTGTCCCTACACATAATGATTTCTATACTATCAGCTTACCTTTATCAGGAGGGTTTATATTGAAAGAGAGAAATTTTGTTTAATAAAAAATATTGAAAAGTGCTATTTTTTTATCCTTTATAAACTTTATTTTTCTTATTGACATGAAATTCACATATAATAATATATTAGTTTCAGGTATACAACATAAAGCTTTGATATATGTAGATATTATGAAATGATCGCCACAGTAAGTGTAGTTAATATCCATCCCTATCCATAGTTACAATTCTTTTTCTTGTGATGACTTTTAAGATATACTCTCAGCAACTTTCAAACATACAAAGCAATATTGTTAACTATAGTTATTGTGCTACTGTGCTACATTACATCCCAAGACTTATTTATCTTATAACTGGAAAACTTTTTACCTTTTGACCACCTTTGCCCGTTTTTCCCACCCCCTACCCACACCTCTGGCAACCACCAATCCATTTTCTGTATCTAGGAGTTCAGTTTTTTGGAGTTTTTTTTTTTTTTAGATTCCACATGTAAGTGGGATCATATGGCATTTGTTTTTCTCTGTCTCACTTATTTCCCTTCACACAATGCCCTCAAGGTCCATTCACATTGCCACAAGCTTTCCTTCTTTTTTATGGCTGAATAATATTCCATTATATATGTACCACTGTTACTTCATCCATTCATCCATTGATGGACACTTAGGTTGCTTCCACGTCTTGCCTATTGGTAGTAATACTGCAGTGAGCATGGGGCTACAGATAACTTTTCAAGTTAGTGTTTTTGTGTCCTTCAGATAAATACCCAGAAGTGGAATTGCTTGATACCATGGTAATTCTATTATTAATTTTTAAAGGAACCTTCCTACTGTGTTTCTGGCTGCACCAATTTACATTCCCACCAACAGTGCACAGAGATTCCATTTTTTTCATATCCTCACCAAACTTGTTATTTCTTGTCTTTTTAGTAATGCCCATTTTAATAGGTGCGAGGTGATAACTCATTGTGGTTTTGATTTGCACTTCCCTGATGCTTAGTGATGTTGAACATCTTTTCATGTATCTGCTGGCCATCTGTATATCTTCTTTGGAACAGTTATCTTTTCAGATCCTCTGACCCTTTTTTAATTGACTTTTTTGCTATTGAGTTGTATGAGCTCTTTATATACTTTGGATGTTAACCCCTTATCCGGTATATATGATTTGCAAATACTTTCTCCCATTATATAGGTTGCTTCTTTATGTTGTTGATGATGTCCTTTGCTTGCAGAAGCTTTTTAGTTTAATGTAGTCCCACTTGTTTATTTTTGCTTTTGTTGCCTTTGCTTTTGGTATCAAATCCAAAAATCATCACCAAGACCAATATCAAGGAGCTTAGCCCTGTTTTTCCTAGGAGTTTTATGATTGCAGGTCTCAACACTCGTCTTTAATCCCCTTTGAGCTGATTTTTGTAGATTGTGTAAGATAAGGATCCAGTTTAATTCTTTTGTGTGTGGCTGTCTGTCCAGTTTTCCCAATATCATTTATTGAACAGATTGTCCTTTCTCCACTGTATATTCTTGGCTCTTTGCCATAAGTCAATTGACTATATATGTGGGTTTAGTCCTGGTCCCTCTACTCTGTTCTTTTCAGTTATGTATCTGTAAAAGTACTATATTTTTGAGTAATTTTACAGTAAAAGTTCTAGAATATTTTCCATCAGAATCAACTAATAGTTTGATTTTGTAATATTTTTTCCATCCCTTGCTAAGTTTGGAACTCCCAGATACTGTGATTGGGAGGAATTTTATTACATAATGAAAAGAAAGATTGTGTTTTAGAATACACGTGTTTTAGTAAATTATTTTGAAGGTTTAAGAAAAAGATCTAAATGTCATCCTTTAAAAATCTTTGCACTTTACAGGTGTTTCTGTTTTCCCATCTTTATACTGTTTATACTCATTATAAATTCCAGTAATACAGTTAGACAATGGCACCATTGGTCCATTTGGGTCAACAACTTTTTTAGGAATTACCAAGTCATTTTTCCCTCTACCAAGAGAGATATATGCATTAATATTTCAAGAGTAGAGGACACTTCTAGCATACTGCTATATGGTCCCTGGTGTTGATAGTCTTTAGTATTTCCAATCCAGAGTGCCAGCCTACTAAGTAACAGAAAACTCCAGTTCTGGGACACTTTCCTTTCTCTTGAAATTAGTGAAATTAGCACACCCCAACTTCCTTCTGAGGGCTGGTAAAGGAAAAAGTACTTTTGAACCACTCAGGATTAAACAGTTCTCCCTCGCTCTCTTCTCCCTGCTCCTCCCTCCCTTCCTCTCACTCACACACACGCTCGCACACAGCCTCCCTGCTCCGGCTTGTCTAACTTCCAAATTTGCATCCCAAGGCGAGGTACGTGTAGCCTGAAGTGTGAGCTTTGAACTACTCCAAGCATCTCTCTGGCGAAAAGTAAGAAATGATTGAGAAATCCCTCCCCAGGCTGCTGCTTCCCCACCCCCCGCTCGCCCCCACCCCGGCCCGGGTCCACTACCGTCCCCTAGCACTCCGCCATCACTCCCCTCTCCCCCATATCTCTAAACCCAGTCTGGGCACCCAAGTCCCCGCCCCCTCTCGCTGCCAAGAGCAGTTCTTAACCTTTTTTGGGCCGGGGACCTACAAAAAGCTATGGACCCTCTCCGGATGGGGACAGAGGTTGGGAGAAGAAAACAGCTTGACAGCTTTGCGAAATTTTCCAAAAGACTGTGGATCTGAAACGCACCCTAAACTTCCAGATTAAGAACCCAGTCTCTAAAACTCTTGACTTAGGGCGATCAGATCGAGAGTGGAACTCAGATACCACATTGCGCCCCCAGTGAGAAGCCGTAGGAGGGGGAAGGCGCTCCGGCACTGGGCCACTTTCACTTGTAAGAAACCAAACGAAGGGGAGAGACGGGGACAGAAATTCATAAAGGGGGAAAGAGAAGAGGGAGAGGGCTGTTATGAAGACAAGGAGACAGAAGGGAGGAAAGAGAAAAGGGAAAGGAGAAATAGGGGAAACAGGGGCACAGTGGGAGGGGAGGCGACACCGCAGTGGGAGAACCGGGACTGGGCGGCACAGAGAGGCGAGGGCGAGGAAGGGAAAAGAGAGCTTCTGAAGGAGAGCGCGAGCAGAGGGAGGAGAGGAGGAGAGGAGAGGGGTCCAGAGGCAGAAACTGAGAGCGCCGGGAAAGGGAGAGAACTTTCTCTGCTCTCCCTCCCCAGGGCAGGGAGTCTCAGAAAAGCCGATCTCCACGAGGTGGCGGGGAGCGCGAGCGGCCAGCCCCGAGCTCCGGGCGCCTCCGGCCTCCGCCTCCTACAGCCCGCGGCCGGCTGCGAGACTCGCACGGGCAGCCGAGGAGGGGACTCCGTCTAGGAGGCGGTCCCCACTCGCTTCGCTTTCTCCTCCCCTCTCCTCCTGGAGGCGGGCACCCGGGGTATTTGAGCGGCGGAGGACCCGCGGCCCCCCCGCCTCCGCCCCCCAGCCCCCCATTCAAGAAGCCGCTCCGCTATCCCCCACAGCACAGGGCGCCCGGCGCGCCTCGGAGCGCACGTTCCGCGCCTTCTCCTGCCGGCTCCCTGGACATTATGCGGCCGAGCAGCCGAGCCCCAGTCCTCCTCCTCCTCCGGCTCCTCCTGCGGCCCGAGCGGCTCAGCTCTCGGCAGGCGGCGGCGTTGCTCAGCCGAGCGCAGACGGGACCCTCGCGGCGAGACCTCAGCGACTCCTAAAGTCAAAAGTTGGCGGCGGGCGCCGGGCTCCGCGCGCTCACCGCGGCCACTGCCTCGCGTCGCCGCCGCAGCCAAGCAGGGCAGGAGGGAGGGAGGGGGTGGGAGCCACGGGGGAGGGGTGGGGAGCACCATGCAGTTTGTATCCTGGGCCACACTGCTAACGTTCCTGGTGCGGGACCTGGCCGAAATGGGGAGCCCAGACGCCGCGGCGGCCGTGCGCAAGAACAGGCTGCACCCGAGGCAAGGTAATGAGGCTCCGGCCACCGCGACCCCTCCGCCCCAGTCGCCACCTCCACAGCTTCTGCGTCCCACAGCGGGCACCCCGCAGCGGAGGCCTCTCTCCTTTTCCTAGAAAGAATTATCTCCGGCTTTAGAGCCTCTCCCTTCTTTAGGTCACTCCCAGTCAATTTCTAGAGAGAGCCGCTGTAGAACAAACTTCGTCTCCTCCACCCCTCGTTGCCTGTAGTTTGATCTTTCCCCTTCCCCACCTCCATGCCCCAAACTATAGTTACTTAGTAACTGGGGGTAGCAGATAGTGGCATGTTTTATTTTACTCAGGGTATTTATCCGAATCTGAAATAATCTTATGTATTTTTGACTTGTTCACTGTCTGCTTCCGAACGGTGTATCCTGAGTCTAGCATAGTTCCTGGCCGTTCCTGGCACATAGTAGGTGCTCAGTAAATATTTGTGCATTAGCTGAGGGGGAAGGCATTGACTCAAATGGGCAAAAATAACTGTTGGAAAATAACCCGGGACAGAGCCCCCTTCACTTTAAATTAAAACTTGTGGGAAATTGGTTTGCGGTAAATGGAATTACTGGTTCATGTGTCTCTGCTTTTCCCTGCAGTGAAATTATTAGAGACCCTGAGCGAATACGAAATCGCGTCTCCCATCCGAGTGAACGCTCTCGGAGAACCCTTTTCCACGAACGTGCACTTCAAAAGAAGGCGACGGAGCATTAACGCTGCCTCTGACCCCTGGCCTGCCTTCGCTTCCTCTACCTCTTCGCAGGAGCATTACCGCCTCTCTGCCTTCGGCCAGCAATTTCTATTTAATCTCACTGCCCATGCCGGATTTATCGCTCCAAGGTTCACTGTCACCCTCCTCGGGACGCCCGGGGAGAATGAGACAAAATTTTATTCCGAGGAGGAAGCAGAACTCAAGCATTGCTTCTACAAAGGCCATGTCAATACCAAGTCGGAGCACACGGCGGTCATCAGTCTCTGCTCAGGAATGGTGAGTTGGTGTGTGCCCCCACCCCACCGCTCCCCTCCCGCCTCTTCACCCGTTTCTGGAAGGCTTAATTAATTAATTGCTCTCTAGCCTACGACCCTCACTGCGCCGAGTTTCCATCCTGGCTTTAAATATCCGCTAGAAACTCCTTTGCATCTTGAGGTTTGGCTGACAAGCCCAGTGCGTGTGCTTACTCTAGAGAAGCGCGCACGCATCCGCCCCCAGGGGGTTCGGTATGTTTCGGAGCTTTCTAGAGTCCGAACTCGGCTCCACTGCGCTTTACCCAACGCTTGTAGGCGGCTTGGAAGTCGGCTTCCAAATTCCCAGAGTTGTCCTTCCTTGCAGCAAACCCTGCTGCCCAGGAGCGGAGCAGCTGAGCGCAGGGAGGACCCGACTCCTTACTGGCGCGTCTTGGAGTCAGGGCTGTGGGCTGAGGATCCCCAGCCTCTAGTATGGGGAGTTCCTTCTGTGTGTCGTGGAGGGCGGTGCGTAATCTAGAGTCCTGGCGATTTCTCTGGGCCTTTTTTCACGCGCCAGGAACCCTGAGGCTCAACAGGATTGACAGGGAACAGGTCCATCCCAGGAACGGAAGGGTGGGCCGAGGGCTCCGGGGGCGGGGAAGAGGGCGGAGCCTGCCCCGGACGCTTCGAATAAGGGTAGAAACTGGGAGTGGGGGTGTGGCGCAGTCCGACTCTGCACCCTGCTGGCGGGGTGGCCCCAAGAAACAGAAATAGTGGGGGAAAGGCTGGAGAAGCCGCGCGCACGAGATTTCGGTACTTCTGGGTTTTCTGCCACGCATAGGGGTTCCAGAGAATCGAAATACAGATCCTACAACACACGTTTCCCTGGAGAGAGAGGGCGAGTAGGGGCGGGCTGGCCACCTCCCTGCACTGCAAAACACGCACTTAGCAAGTTTTCCGAAACGGATACCTTGACCCCCTCCTGACCTCCCCCTCCCCACTCGCTCTCTACTTGGTCCCACATGGCATCCGCTTTTTACTCCCCTCCCCCCCCCCCCCCCCCTTTTTAAACCCCCGCTCTAAAGTTCTGGCCGGAGGGAAAGTGGTCCTTGACTTTCCCAAACGATGTGCGTTCCTGCCACGAGCGTGTGACGCAGAAACTTTCCCGGGTCAGGTTCTTCCAGCACAACGCAATGTGTGCACTGCGCCCTGGTGATGCGTTTACTCTTCCCCCGAGGACCCACATTCCCCCGTCACCTTCTGTAAGGGGGAGCACAGATACTTACCTGGGGCACTCGGTTGCCCCTTCCGCGTGCGCTGTTGGTGGTGGATTCAGTGTCCCCGGTCTGGAGGTCGCATCCATCTCCACCGTTCTACGGAAGGGTCCGAAGGGTCCAGTGGGGAGCGAGGCAAGCCTGAAGGCTGGGACGGGGAAGGTTTTAGCCAGCTGGGAAACGGGCATGGGGATTAGCCTCTCCAGCCCCCAGCAAAGCGCCCGGAGCTGTGGCTCGCTGTTGAGCTTGTTTGGGGGTGGGCGGAGACGGCAGTTTGACGCACGGGGGGGGGGGGGGGGGGGCTAAGGGGCTGCTGCAGTGAGTCATTGCTGCCCCAAGACCTAGGGCCAAAGCGCAGGAATCCTTCCAGTCTTCAAAAGGTTATGGCCAGGGTGGGCGTAAGTCAGGCACTGGACCCCAGGTCATCAGAGAGCCCCTAGATCCGAAGATTAGAAACCCCAATTCCAGAATCTTACGGTGGGGCAGAGACTGTACGTAAAGTTTGTAAACAACCTTTACTCCTCCTCCCTCCCCGCCTCCACACCCTGCTGAGTGGCCCCAGCAGTTGTATAAATACTTTGCTGCGCAGGACCTTGATTTCAGTTGGCAATTTTAGGTGGTAACTCACGCGTGGATCCGCAAGTGGTAGCTCTCTTAGGGAACTGAGGGGCAGGACTTCAGAAATGATTGTATAGACCGTGATAACCCCCTTCGTATTGCATTTAATTGGCAATCTGCCTCTTCCGGGAGGGAAAGGTCCAGAATACATCTTAAAGATAAGTGCACTGGGTGTTTCTATCTTCAGCGATTAATCTAGCCCCCAAACCCTCCTTCCCTTTGTCTTCCTTCTGGAGTTTTTCTTTCTTCCCAGGACTTCCCATTACCATTTCTATACCAATAATATCATGACATACCTAGTGACCCACCCAGGAAATCTTTCACTCTAGAGAGTGAATCTAAAAATGCCAATCTACCCCCCCCAACACACACACACACCCTCTCCCCACCAGTTATTTTCCCTGAATTCAATCTTAGCTGTGTCTCTCACCTGGTCTGAACCAGCCCTACCCTAATTCTAGACCTCTTTTACTTCTCTGCTCGTCTCTCCTTTAGTACCGTTGTCTAAGAAATATTTCCATCTGGCTTTTCCTCCTTCCGTCTTTCCTCTCTAATCCCCGCCACACACAGCTAACAGATTAAGGATGACTAGATGGTGCAAGATCACATTACTCCCCTGTTCACTCACCTTACCGAGTACTAGTAGCTAAGTAAGAGAACAACTACTAACCCCTTCCTCTGACAATTGAGACCATTTATGATGTGCCTTCTCATGCTCTGCACACCCACATGCCACGCTCTTCTCTCAGGCTTTCCCTCCACCAATCCTGTGTATCAGTCAATCTGCTTTTGTTCTTTCTCTGAATTTCCCTCCCATCCCAGTCCTACCTCATTGTCTTTGGGCCTGTGGGTTTACCTGGTCATCTCCCCCAGCATCACATGCTCCAATCCTACCCCTCTCTTAAAGTGTAATTTACATAGCTTCTTCCCCAGGAAAGCTTGTCCTCAGACTGCTCTCATCTCTCCTCCTTCACAGACATTTGTCTGTATCTTTCTTATGATGCTTAGTATGCTCTCCCTTGCATTACAGTTCTTGGTACACGCAGTCTCTCCCTCTCCTTGGCAGCAGGGTCAGCATCATTTCTCTCCCATGTGGGAGCCTTGGATATTGTACTTAGTACCTATGTCGGAATAAATGGTCACTGTAACAGAGAAAAGGTGACTCTTTGATCAAACATCCATCAAACCTCAAACTTGTCTTCTGTGAATCAACAACAAAAATTGGGCATCGTATAGATAACATTACTTGGACTCTTATTATGCATCTTGCCCTACAAAATGTACTTTTTGTATGCATTATCTCATCCCATCCAAATCCTCACAACAGCCCAATCCTCAAAACAACCCATTTTACAGATGAGGAAGGACCCTGAGGCTTGGAGAGCCGGATGCTTGCCCGAGGTCTCCTGACTAGTAAGTGGCAGAGTTGGGGTTCCCACACTGTCTTTTTGACCCACGCCCCTAACCGTGGGCCAGAGACTGGATCTGTGTTCCTACAGAGACCTTTGACGTTCTTTTTTTTTAAAAAAGGTACTGGACTAAAATCAGGATACCTGAGTTCTAGATTCAGTACTGGCACCATTCAGCTGCTTCTGTATCACTGAAGAGGGACTTTGGACAAGTCACTTCCTCCCTTTGGGCCTTAGTTTCCCCTTTTGCTAATTAAAGGTGCCCGATCACCACCAGAGGAGCTGCCAGGTTCTTGCCAGTGTTTCTGGCCTTTCTCTGGTAGATTTCACGTGTGATAAGCTTCCTGCTCTGTGCTCAGAGAACACCAGAGCTGTATATTTAAAACAGAGAGAGGTGCCTGCGCAAGAATAAATGGGTTAAACCACTTCTTCTCTGGGGAAACCAGCTATTCTTAGTCTGACGACACCAGAGCTGTCCTCCCTTTAAGCCAGCGGCTCATGAATCACGTGGAAGCCTTTTTTAAAAATATAGATTCTAGACCTCACCCCTGGAAATTCCAGGTCTGCAGGTATGGGGTAATGCCACAAATCTCATTTTTTTAAGTTCCCAGGCAATTTTGAAGTTTAGATAGGTTTGGAAACCCCAGTGTCTCAGCCTCGTGCTTCCCAAACTTTATTGTGCATGAGAATACCTTGGAGTGTTCATTAAGGTTCCAGCTCCAGCGGCCCTACCCCCAGAGATTTTGATTCAGTAGATAAAATTTAGCGTGAGCGTGATTATTTGAATTTCTAACAAACTCCTAGGTGTTGCTGATACTACTGCTGGTGTTCAAGGACAGTCACATCCATTGTGTCTAAGGGAAGGTAGAAGCGCTCTGCTTTTTTTACAGCCCCATTGAGGAGCTTGATTTCTTCCTTTCAAGACTGCCCACTGCATGGCATGGGCAACTTTTTAGTGCTCTTAGATGTGTGGTTTGGGTGGTTCAACCCTGAGGCATCATTTACCTTTTGCATAACTTGTGGGTGTGTGGGAAGGGCAGAAGGAGTTACCATTTCTGTCCTGGTGGTTAGAGGCTAACACAGCAACACAGAAAGCCACTGAGGTGTTCTAATCCCTTACAAAGTGTCACTTTGCTAAGCACTTTCCAAGCATTATCTCATTTAGTCTGCACAATAAGCCTTTACATTAAGTACTTTTGTCCCCAGTTGACAAACAAGGAAGTCAAAGCTCAGAGCAGTTAAGGAACTTGCCCAAGGTGGGTGGGTAAGTGCCAGGGCTGGGACTGGACCCTAGGGCAGCCCGATTCCAAGCCTTGTACCGTTTCACTCCCTATTGCAAAGGGAAGGGGTGTGCAGAGACTCATTTTTCAGTGTCACAGGTGGGACCACCTGGAGTGCCTGTGGTCAGTCTATGCTTTCTGAATTTGAATTAATGTTAAGGCTTCCATGGGTCAGCTTTCCCCTCTGGAGGTCACACTAGTCCCTCAGTTTCCAGGCTATCTTCACATGCAGAAACACTCTATTGGAACAGCCTGTGAAAGTGAGTATGATTGGGACACCTGGGTGGCTCAGTCGTTAAGCGTCTGCCTTCGGCTTAGGTCATGATCCCAGGGTCCTGGGATCGAGCCCTGCATCAGGCTCCCTGCTCTTCGGGAAGCCTGCTTCTCCCTCTCCCACTCCCCCTGCTTGTGTTCCCTCTCTCGCTGTGTCTCTCTCTGTCAAATAAATAAATAAAATCTTTTTTTAAAAAAAGAAAGTGAATATGATTAGAATTTGGACACCAAGGAAGGATTTCTTAGAGACAGATTTGCATAGCAGGTACAATAAACTAGAGTCAAATCAAGGAGAAGGTACTGACTTGACGGAGTGAAAATAAACCTCTTCTCCGAATAGGTGGGCAGCGATTCAGTTTCAGCAGCCCTCATGGGGAAGGGCTTGGGGGAAATGCTGCCCTCTCTCCTTGGCAATGTTCCATTTTTTTCCCCTCCCTGCGGTTGAGTTCTGTGAAATCAACCTTTCATCTCTCTTCATTTGCAGCTGGGCACATTCCGGTCCCAAGATGGGGATTATTTTATTGAACCACTTCTGTCCATTGACGAGCAAGAGGATGCAGAGGAACAGAACAAACCGCACATCGTCTATCGGCACAGCCCCCTGCACAGAGGGCCCTCAACCGGAAGGCGTGCATGTGACACCTCAGGTATTTCCTTCCTGCTCAAGCAGAGCCCCCAGCTCTGTGAGATGGGTCAGTGGCAATATTACAAAGATATACCTCTTTCACATGCTGCCAAGTGCTACCGTTTACATTGTCTTTTACTCAGTCTTCAAGCGAGGTAGGTATTCCCCATGGCACAGATGTGGAAGCTACAGAGAGGTGTAGTAACTTGTCCAAGGTTGCACAGCTAAGAACCAACAAAGCCCCGAAAAGAGCTCATCTGGCTCCGGGCTCACTGTGGGCAAAGCTGCCTCTTGTTGAAGTTGCAAATTTTTTTGGATTTGGCTTTCGTAGTGTCTTCCGGCTCTCACAGCCCTATCCTCAGTCAGCAATGGCTTGTTCCCTGGGTGTCTTGGTGTTTTCTATTCATTTGGGGGTTTTTTGTTTTGTTTTGTTTTTTTGTTTTATACCATTTAGGGTTATGAAAAAGTGAAAAAGTCTCATAAATGGAACTCAAAAAAATTTCTTTGTGTTCATTGGGGTTTTTCCTATCAACATCAGTTTTAGCTGTTGTTCTAGGGCTTCAGGAAATAGCAGAATAGAAGTTGTGGATTGTGCTGTCAGGTTTCAGTCAAAGGCGTCTGTGCCCACCCCTGGCTTTCCTTCCATGCTGGACACATTCCTTGAGGCTTTGTGCTGACACGTCTGGCCATTGTCAGGGCTACGTCATTCTGGGCCCCTCCGAAAGCTTATGCTTGTGTACGTTTCTCAGTCTACAGCCTTGAGGCAACCTTCCACTGTCTTTGAAGCCTGGTTACTTTCTCGCTCATGATGGCTTGACACTAGAAATTGTCCCTCAATTTGGTCCTGTTTTAGGATGTTTGTTAGAATACTCTTCTTTTTTTTTTATTCTTAAACTTCCTGTTTCTAAAACTTTGTACTTCTCCCTAGTCGGTAATTTTAGACGTTGCTTCTCCGAATTAGATAACTTTTGAGGGTCTTTCTGGCATCTCCAAATAAGACCCTCATTCCAAACCAGCAGAGGGTTTCCTAAAATGCTTCCCAAATGATCACTTGTTTCATCTTATATCTGTATCAGGCTCTCCCTCTGTGACAGACTGTGGTATCCTATTTGCTCCTGGAATTATTTCTGAATAAGGAAAGATGACATTGGCTGCTTATAATCTGGAACAGTCAGATCAGAGGGTGTAGCATTGTAGCCCATCTAGCGCTGAGTTCCTCCTCCCAGGACTAAACGGAATATAACTGAAATATGATGTCAGTTAGACTCACTAAAGAGCCAGGGGGGTGAGATGGGGGGGCAGGGGGAGCAGTGTACTCAGAAACCATAGTCCCAGGGGCTGGCAGGGCGCCAAGTGAGATGGCAAGATGTGTACCCCATTTTTTTGGACCATGCTAGTGAGAACATTGTCCTTTCCTTCTTGACTTCCCAAATCTGAATTAGCAAATGTTTATTTTATATATGTGGGTAAACCTACATATAGCATGTGATAGAAAGGAAACATGTGATTGCTCCCCTTCTATCTTATTAATATATATTCAGAAGATACTCCAGTAGTGTGTTCATTGGTCAATTTATTGAACTACAGCACTTTGTGATAATCTTCTGCCCTAAAGTGGTAGCAAACCAACATGTTTTTTTTAAAACTGCCATTCATTAAGGTCCTACTCTATACTGGCAAAGTGCAAAGCACCTTACCTACAGGACTTTACGGAATCCTTACCACAACCCTGTGGGGCGGGTACCATTCTTAGCCCCATTGAACCTAGCAGGGGAGCAGGGATGAAGCAACTTGCTCCAGACCTCCCAGCTACTCCGTAAACAGCCCATGTTTGTCTTATCCCATGATCCATTTTCTCTGTGCAGGTGTGATGTGTATGTGTGTGTGCGTTGGGTGTGACAGAGAAGGAGAGAGAAGTCTTACTTGATGCTCTCATTCAAAAAGTCCTTAAAGTTCGTTCTTTTTTTTAATCAATTACCTAAGTCAATCAACGTTTGATTTCCTGGGCTAGAGGGCGAGTCACTGTCAAGTCCTGTTAAAAACACAAAGAAGAGGGACTCTGAAAAGATGAAGATGGAGGACAACAGAAGATGGCTTAATTTTTCAAAAAAGTTATTTGGGTTCCAGTCCTTCTTGGTACTGGGGCCTTTATGTGCCACTGTCAAAGTCACTCGTGCCAACTCTCAGTTTTCCTTCGGGTGTGCCCTTGCCAGTGACCAGTATGGCTGCCCTTCCGTCACCCCATGTGATGAATCAGGAGCCTGGCAGTCTTGATTGGCTCTTCCAAAGGTTGCTGCTGGACTCTGCCACTCTGGTTTCTCTCTTCCAGCTGCTTCTGCACCCCTTCTTTGAATACAGATGCAGGAGGCTCAGAACAGTTGGAAAGAACTTTGGAATATGGCACAATTCACCAGCAGCCATTACAGGGACGGACCAGCAGGTCATGGAAACATCCGAAACCAGGTAGCCTGTGCACAGGGAGTGAAAGTAGGTGGGGCGGGGGGGTTGGGGGTGGGGAGGTGCGGGCAGAAGTCCCTCTGGCCAGAGCAGAAAATATCCTCTACAAATATTAATCCAGTCAGCTTCAGGGATTTCCCCCCAGAGCAGTGGTTGGTAGCCAAGGGTAAACTTTAGAAGTATCCTGGAAACTTCATACAAATACAGGTTCTTTAAACACATACACACACATACACACACAACCTCCCTCTCAGGCTAGTGAGAAGGAGCAAGAATCAGTAGGTTTACTGAGTGTTCCACTTAACCCAGAAGTTCAGCTAAATGTGAGAGTCCCTGCTAATGTAGGATTTAAGGCAATAACCACTATCCTTGGCTTGCCGTTTGCTTTGCGTTCTTCACTGTTTTCTATGTCTTATAGACTGACAGAAGATTTTCTGGAGGAAACTGTAGTAGTTAGCTCTAGGCCAACAGGCTCATTCTGTACAGATGAGCAAACTATAGTCCTGGGATATTAAGTTACTTTTTTCCAGGAGTGATCAGCTATATATTCAACACCGACCCATCAGAATTTAAGATTGCCCTAGCCTTGGAGCCGGCCCCCGCAAGTCCACTACTGAGCTGAGTATAACCCTTAGCTGCTGGAAAATGGGATCCTGCCCAGCACTAGGCACTGTGGCTGTTACGCTGTTGCCTACTGTTGGATTATGTCCTGCTCATTTCTGATTCTTGATGTATGTCTGATTTTCCAAAACAGATTCTGAGGTAATTTACATTAAAACGACACGTGCAGAAGGAGTCTTACATAGTGAAAATTGCGTGGGTTTAGAAGGGAGTCAACAACTTAATTTATTCATTCAATGTGCATTCAGCCATAGCTTATTTCCAAACTCCTCTGTGCAGTGAGGATAAAACCAGAAACCATCTTTATTCCCGTCAGCTGTGTGACCTCAAGCACATTTAGAGCATAAAGTAAGAATAACACATACCTTTCAAGGGTGTAGTTAGGACTAAATGAGTATGAAATAATGAAAGCTCCCAGGACAGTGTTTAGCAGATGGTAGACAATCACTGAATGGGAGATTAAAAAGAAGAGTCATGAAAATAGAAATTGAAACAACACAGCAAGGAAAGGAAAACTCAATGCCAAAACCCAAAGCTGATTGGGTTCCTGTGCTTAGCTTAGAGCTTCTTGGTAACCAAGTCATAAAGGGCTTATGGGACTTGCCCAAGGTCACCCTGCCAGCAAGTGATGGGGCGGAGAGCCCCCTTCTCTTTTCTTATTTTCTCTGTACCTAATGCAGCACTTTTTAAAAAAGATTCTTTTTATTTGACAGAGAGAGAGAGAGAGAGATCACAAGTAGGCAGACAGACAGGCAGAGGGAAAAGGAGAAGCAGGCTCCCCGCAGAGCAGGGAGCAGGGAGCCCTATGCGGGGCTCGATCCCAGGACGCTGGGATCATGACCTGAGCAAAAGGCAGACGCTTAACTGACTGAGCCACCCAGGCGCCCTCATAATGCAGTATTTAAAAAAATTCATTTCTTGCAAGTTTCTCTTGGCCCAATGGCTGCCCTTCCTACAGTGTCTCTGTTTTGCCATCGTTGGTTATGTCTGGGTGTGTACGTTTGGGTCAGTTGAGTGGATCTGCATTTATTTGTGATTTTCATCCTGTTTGTAAGTTCCTCAGGATTCAGGATGGGGTGTGGGGTATCTTCTCTTTCCTGCGGCATGCCCTTGCTGCTCCTGTGTCCCCTACACAGTGGGTCCTCAGTAGAGTTCATTGAGCTGCCTTGCCTGCCTGCCCCCCCCCACTTGGGGGGCCAAGTGGCTGGGGCAGGGGAGCCATTCAGGAGAGTTTATTGCTTTTATAAGCCACTTCCTGCTAATCCTTCACATTGCATTTCCAGATGAAACCTCAAGTTCTGTCTCACAGACACTCTCTGTTTGACCCTGAATTTTGCACAAGAGGATTTAGTTGTTCTTATCAGTGAGATAGACATGCTTCCTGGTAGGTGAGAGAGAGAAAGGCAGGGGGGAAAAGGCCAACAGAAGGCTATTTTGTTTGGGCCTAAAAGACCGTCTTTTTCCATTACTAGAATGTTTCTCTCACCCTCCCATCTCAGTAAGGCCTGCTGGTTTTTTGTTTTTATTTAAGGCATTGAAGAATTATGTACTTGTTGACCCATCGATGCCACTTCTAAGGAAATAATTGGACGATTATGTAAAGACATTTGTGTGAGAATACTCGGTATGGTGGTGTTTATTATAGCAAAAGGCTGGAAACAACCTACGTGTTCTTCAGTAGGAAGATAGACCAATGGTTTATGAGGGATACATTTGATGGATTCCTATGCAGCCATCAAAAATGATCATACACATTTATGTTAACACTGACATATATGTGTGTGTATATATATATACACACACACACATATATACACACACATCTTAAGCAAACAAGCAAGTCATGAACAAGTGTATATGGTATGATCTCATTTTTTAAAAATGATAGCTTCGTGGTGGTACATGTGTGTTTAAAGAAAAAATATGAAGCAATATGTATAGAAA